AAAGAAGGATATGAATAGGAAGGATAGGCGTTATGGCATAACAACTATGATAAGGCATCTTAAGACTTCTTCTTATGTAAGGGCAGTAGGCGTAAACCAACAGAAAGGGGCGATATCACAATTTATTCAAAAAACAGTATATTTATTTAGGTTTAATACTTAACTTCGAATTACTAACCTTTACTAATTAAGGACATACCAAGCGATACAGTCTTTACCTAAGAAGACTAGGAGTATGAAATTCTCTAGTTTATCACTCTCAACCGGCTTCTATTCCACTTAGTTAAGCATCACACCTTTTAACGCTTAATCTCAAAAGCCCGATCAGTCTTAAGCGAACTAAAACTCCTATCAGCCGATACTATTCGTCGTCGACTATCCACTCAGGTTAAAAAGTAACAACAATCCACGCTTAAAATGCTTCTAGCAGACTCGAAGATATCAACCGCCTTAGACTATTAGACATCTCTATTTAGGCAGGCATTTATGGCTATTACTGGCTATTTCATTGATATAAATTAGATATACCGTGAGGTTCTTCTTAGATTCAAACCCCTCTATAGCGCTTATATAGGTGCAAATATAAGCGGTATTGTCCTAGAGACCCTTATCGATCATAATATCTAAGACCGAATCTTCGGATTAACTACAGACAATGCATCAAATAATAAGACACTAGTTAATTCGCTACAGTAGGCGTTACCTCCAGAAATAAATATCATCCGAACCCCCTGTCTTGCGCATATTATTTAGCTCAGCTTAAACCGGCTTCTTGATCGCCTTAAAACAGTTCTACTCAATAATACTATAGAGACCAAATAGACAGACTATCAATCAGCCTTAGCAAAGGCTAATACACAGACTCAGAACCGGGAAATTTCTCATACCTTAAATAAGGTCCGGTATCTAGTAGTATATATCCGGGCAAGCCCCTAGCGTCGTAACGCGTTCATAAAACTCCAACCGCTAGAGCAGGGACTTATACCGATCTAGGATATACGGACTCAGTAGAACTTAACATTCTTGATGCTTCGGCGGGCAAAAAGACTCCGTGATTTCTTTAGGGCGTTCTATATAGATTATAACTATAAGGAAATAGCACTAGATACTAAAGAATAGCGCTAGATTGACTATCTCCTTTATATCACTAAGCCATTCTTCGACTATATACTCGCGCTTTTAAAGACTCGAGATATCATAGCGTATCTTGTATTCCGGATCTATAATATACTTTTCGAGCATTTAGAGAAGTCAATAACCTAGCTGAAGCGGAAGCGTATGCTCTAGAAACAGCAAATACTTACGTCTCTTAAAGCTAGCCGAGAGAAGCTTAATAAGTACTATACGCAAATAGATAAAGCCCGCGGATATATCTATACGATTAGTACTATGTTGGCCCCTAATAGTAGATTCCAATTCTTTCTTTCGGATGACTGGGATAGATATTGGCGCGATACATATTGTATATCTTTCCGAGAGGCACTGGTTCCTTACTAAGAGCGTGTCGCTAGCTCTCAAGGTCCTAAAGGCTCCTCTGTCGAAGTGAGGCAGAGCTTATCACTATATAACCTACTAAGTGGCTATAAACCTAGAGCTAAGCTAGTGGGAGATAAAATAACTTAATATCTTGATAGTAGTATGTTAAACCCCTATTTATCTTAATCAAATACTAACTTACTAGTAGATATTACCGATTCCGAGCCACTTACATTCTAAAGAGATTAGCAAGACCGTTTCCCAGCGATTACTTTGCTTATACGGGATATTCTCTTAATCCTAGTAATAGGTGCTAGCATAGAAAGACTTTTTAATACCGCCCGCGATATCTATCATTATCGCTGCGGTCGAATAAAGTCTGAGACTATTCAGGAACTAATGATGTATCTTTGCACGTTAAAATTTGAGCTAGAGGTATAAGAAGCAAAGGAGCTTGAAAAGTTTTTCTCTTTAGATGAGATTGAAGTATTAAGGGAGGAGAAGGATAAGAAGCTTAAGGATGTTGAGATAGATAGTATTAGCGACACAGAAGAGCATACCGGGGTTTCTGAGGATCTTATCGATATTGATACTGATGCCAATGAGGAAACTAATGCTAGTCCTATTACGCCGCAGCTGCCAGAGACCACTCCTATGCTACGTACATCAGGAAGGAAGAGGAAGATTACAGTGGATGATGAATTCGAGAGCTACTAGTATATAATCAAGTCAAAAATTCAACGCATTTTATTAATACCACTTTATTCACTTTAAGTCAAAAGCTGTAAGAGAATTACTAAAAATTACATGCAAAAAATGCATTAATTATGAAGTCACGGGCCCCCAATGGGCCCCCACGATGGGCCGTGGGCCCAAAAAAAAAGCCCAAAGCCCATCGTGGGCCCAAGAACCGGGCCCAAAGCCCAGCCCATTCGTGGGTTGGGCTGGGTTGGGCTTTGGGCTTTGTGGGCTCTGCGGAAGCCTAGGTAAACGACGTATTCTAAGGGATATTCCTAGGAGTATAGGCTAAAATAGGAAATTGATAGGTTAATTGAATAGCCCCACTGAGTTTTTCACTTGGATAGGATCGAAACCGCTAGGATGAACGGTCACGTTGACGACGCCAGTCCTTTTTTGATGGGACGATGGGCGATCTAAATGGGAAGGGTTGCACGTGATGGGATTAGCGTGTCGCATTTTATTGATGTTGCTTACTCAGGCTGCTTATCCCTACACCCAGTGAGCACTCAGTGAGCAAATCAGAGTGCTCAGATGATGATCAGTGAGTGGATCAGGGTGCTCAGATGATGATCAGGTGATGCTCAGTGAGCAGATCATGTTGATTATGTAGATTATGTAATGGCCCGTGATCAAGTCAGAATACTCGGGACGTGCTCAGTTTTACTCAGTGATCAAAAAGCGGCAAGGGTGAGCACTAAAACGGAAAGGGAAAGGTTTCGAGTGCCAGGCATTATCCGGTACATATGTATCATATTGTTCAAGCTCTTTATATAATTACCATTGACAAGGTTCAAGGCATGAGATTTACAAGTACAGCATTGTCAGGACATCTCAGCCAGCCCTGGAGTCCTGGAGGGCCAATGATATTAGTCAGCAGTGGGCTGACGACATACCTGCGAATGGACTCGATTATTTCTACCAAATGCCATTTCACTTGGAGGAATTATTGGCAGTGCGTGGAAAAAAAAACACGTATGACAGCCCTCATTCATGCATCCCCTTTTTGATCGACACAGCCGTAGTATCCACTTGAGATGAGTGACCTTCAGAAATCATTTGCCAAGTCAAAACTGGCCAAATTTCCACCCGAAGCACCAATGCCTGAGTCAATGAGCTATTCGGAAGATGCATGGGAGGATGGCTCTTCAGCTTCTTCGGTGTCGTCGACTGGGACGATGGTCCCATCACCCACGCGACAGCTATTCGCCCGAACGGGCCGACGGTTCGTTTACTTCGCCAATTTCTAGGAGCTCACTTTGGGATCAATTGGCAATTTGAATCAGCCAATTTTCTAGGATTACACTAACATGCGACCACAGACAATCATCTCAAACTTCTTTGTCATGGACAGACTTCTTTGACCAGGAGCTCTTTCTTTCAGAGGAAGTGGATAATCTCCATATTGTACACCATGTCTATTTAACACCGCCGACTGATTCAGGCCCGTTGTTTGTCATGCACCATGGGGCCGGTTCATCTGGACTTTCCTTCGCGACCTGCGCAGAAGAGATCCGGAAGATCCTCCCAAAGGCGGGAATCTTGTCCCTGGATGCTCGAAGCCATGGCCGCACTGTCGTGACCAAATTAGACAATAAGACGGGCGATGAAACTCCTTCCACAGGAGCGGCAGCCCAGGCTGAATCCTCAGGGCAGGTCGAGCTCGACCTCAAGCTCGAAACTCTGAGCCGGGATCTAGTCCATGTGATTTACCAGACACAAACTAGAATGGGCTGGGAGAAGCTTCCTGATATTATCCTGGTCGGACATAGTCTGGGCGGTGCAGTGATTACAGATGTCGCGAAGAAAGGAGAACTGGGTCAGAAGCTGTTGGCATATGCGGTGTTCGACGTAGTTGAAGGTATGTTCGCCTTTTTTTGGTTTATGTCCATCAGATACTGATATCACTTTTTGACAGGGTCTGCGATGGATGCTCTGCAGAGCATGGAAAAATATCTTTCGACTCGTCCGACCAGATTCTCATCCTTATTATCTGGAATCGAATGGCAGTATGTGTCTATCTCGACTGTCCTATCTTTCCATCATGGCTAACAAATACCACAAGTACTCGCTCCCGCACAATCCGGAACACCACTTCTGCCCGCGCGTCGGTTCCGTCCCTCTTATACGAAGAAAGCGAGCCCAGCGACCCGTCCCGGCCTTGGGTGTGGCGCACCAACCTCTCTGCAACGAAACCTTTCTGGGAAAACTGGTTTGTTGGCTTGAGTAGAAAGTTCCTCGATGCACGGGGTGGCAAGCTACTACTACTTGCTGGGACCGATAGACTAGATAAAGAGCTGATGATTGGGCAGATGCAAGGTATGTATTTCGAAATACTCTCTGCCAACCATCTGTAATAAGGTCATTCGGCATCATGCTCACTTCGGTATCACAGGCAAATATCAACTCCAGGTCTTCCCTGAAGCAGGCCACTTTGTCCACGAGGACCAGCCTGCGAAGACTGCGCAGATTCTGGCAGACTTTTACCGACGAAATGATCGAAGCGCATTGGTGCTTCCGCCCAAGGTGGCGGATATGCAGGCATCAGCGGCGATGAAGAAGGGAACAGGTGCTCCCGGTGGCTCAACGGGGCACTTGAAATAGTACCTTATGATTTGTCTCGGTGTTTGAAACGAGATATGATATCTAATAAATAGCCATCCATAGATGTTAACGAACACACGTGGGTCTCGAGCAAATGTATGATCTACAAGGCTCTTTCTCTAATGTCATTACGTCTACAATCGATGAGATTTAGGTACTTGCATGTAGGAAAATAGGATATTATGAAAAAGTTCATTTTCGAACGGGAGGAGAAGATTCTTTGTCGGGCTCAGGTCAACCCGGCCACAAAGGGCAGCCAGAAGTCCAGCCTTCAGCCCGAAACTCCATACCACCCCGTTGCGACAAACATTAAAGCGAAAAAACAGGAAAAGCAAAAAGCTGCCAGGCACGGCAAAAACCGTGCCTCTCCATCGATAAACACCGAGAATCGGGTCTTCGAGATTCCGAACGCCACCGGGATTCCATCACACGGAATCATCATGCGCGGATCGTGAAAAGGGATGTGATAATACAAGGAGGAGTAAGGGTATTCCGAGAGAGAAAAAAAATAGCGCATGACGCGAAGAACAACGGACCTGGATGCCATTTTAAGGCAAGTAGGCACCACCAGCAACCACCAAATTCATATTTGTGAACTTGACCTTGTAGACAGGAGACTTCTTAGTCGGGAACGCGCTGATTTGGTCGGCCGTGACAACAACGTCCTTTCCCTTCTTTTTCTTGGTCTGGCTCGTCGAGGGGTTTGTGCCTGCATCCAGTCTGGTTCCAGTGCCTGTTTCACCGATGACACGGCCACCCTGAGTAGTTTCCTGAGAACCAGCCACATCCCAAACCCGCACGGTACCATCGGCTCCACCGGAGACCAGCACCGTGGACTCCACGCTCCAGCTGATAGACCAGATTCCACCCTTACCGTGGCCACGCATGCGCTTCAGGAGTCTGCCAGGAGCCAGATCCCACAATATAATGCAGCCCTGGTCATCAGCGGATGCTAGAAGCTTTCCATCGCGGCTGCACTCCATCGCGGTGATGCTACCAGTGTGGCCAGTGAACATGCGAACAGCATTACCAGTTGAAACAGCCCACATGCGGACGGTGTGATCAGAGCTGGCGGTGAAAATGTATGCTGAGTTGGGATGGAAGCAGACGACATCCACATCATGGTCATGACCGACGAAGATACGCTGCTGGCGGATTTGGTCGCTCACCCACAAACGGGCGGTCCGATCAGATCCACCGGAGACAAAGTAGTGGCTAAAGGGTCCCCAGCTTAGATCCCAGACAGGGCGGTCGTGGCCCTTGTAGACGACCATACATTGCCAGCTATCAAGGGACCAAAGGCGAATTGTCTTGTCCATGGACGATGAAAGCAACCAGCGTGCGTTTGTGGCAACCTTGTCATCACCCGAAAGGCCCTCGCGAGCAGATGCGCAGGGCTGGAATGCAACAGCAGTGACGGGACCCGCGTGGCCGATAAGGCGGCGCGAGCTGGCAGGTGGCGAGTTATCAAGGTCAGGGTCAGCAGCTTGAATGTTTGTGCCATCAAGACTCCAAATCCGAATGTATGACTGCTGGAATCCCACGGCCACAACCTGGCTGTCGTCTGAAAAGTCCATGCACGTAACTCTGTGCATTTGTTAGTAAATCTGTGTGTCAAAAAGTCCGTTCGAATGGACATACCCGTCATAAGTGTTATGGAATGTGAACATGCACACACTAAGTCCAGGACCAACACCACCTGTGCGAGACTTGATCTCGAACCGATCGCGATGTTCCATAACCTTCTTCACCTCAATCTGGACGTCACGAGCAGTGGACTGAGGGAAAGGAAGATCTGCACGAGTGGGTGCCTCGTCATCATCTTCATTTTTAATCATTTGGTCAAACTCTTGAATGAGCGTGTTACGGCCAGCGGCAGGAGGTTGTTTCGCATCTTCCTCAGCCAGTTCAGCCCGCACATCCTCCTCCAGGAATTGTTCCATAGGAAGTTTTCCGAGTTTCAGACGGGGAAGTGTGCCAGCCATGGCTGGGTTGTCACCGGTGTAAGCCGAGCCGGGGTGGTGTCCCGGAATGCCTTCATCCTCAGCCGGGAAGGTCTGGTCCGCACTAATCTGGTTCAACATGGCAGCGAAACTGAATCGGTCGTCTGCTGCTCGGTCCAAAGTTTTCACTGAGCAAAAGCTGCTGAGAATTGCGTTCATGACAGAACCTCCCTCTTTATCCTTGCTCTCCAGGAACTGAAGAAGATTGGTGTAAGCGGGGTTGCTTAACACAACGCGGTATTTGTTGTTTCGGTAAAGCTTAGCAACAGAGTTATCCTGCAGGTGCTCCGGCAAGCTGATAGGCTCGAAATGGCGGATGTCATCAGTATGCTCAGGAAGGAACATGTTCTTGTTGGTGTCAAAGAATGATTTCGCATCCTGGGGATAAAAGGAAGTGACCATATTGAAAAAGGAATAAACAAACAGCGGCCACAGAACACGCCGAAGTTCAGGCTGTAAGACAATTAGCATGGAGTTATCAAGTCACTCCTTGTTTGGCGCACCTTGTACAAATCAAGATTTTCCTCCACCCAATTCTTCAGTAAATCTAGATAATCTATTAGTTGACATGCTGAGTCACGTTGATTAAATACTCAGCTCACCAAAGCCTTGTCGAGTCTTGGGACGGGAATCCTCCCCGAGCTGGGGGAGCGGACGCCCATCAATCTCCTGGTTGGCAGACTCCATGCGCAACATTGCCTCTGTACGACTGTAACCTTTCTTGGCCAAGTAATCAATAACCTAGAAAAGATGAAAAGTTAGCCGACAATTCAAACAACCTATTTGAGCAAAACAAAAAGAAAACAAGAGAATGCAAGACAAGCGGAGCGTGGTGAGAGGAGTCTCAGTGGGTAAACAGACGGCCTGTTCACGTTCCCGTGTCTCCTCAACGGTGAGGGGTTGCGAAGGCTTTGTGACGGGAGGCTTTGTGACAGGAGGCTTCATGGTGGGAGGCTTCGTGGTGGGTGGACAGGGCACAGATGGTGCCGGAGCCACATCAGCCGCCACCGGCTTGTGTTTCTTCCGGCTCTTCTGGGTAGGCGAGGTCGGGCGGGGGCGCCGGCGAGGCTGCCGCCGGCGAGCAGGCTGCCAATCCTCGTCCCGAGTTGGCATATTCAGGGCGGTTCCGATGATGTTTTGCGAAGGCGGTCCGTTTTATCTCAACTGATGCGAGGATGAAAGCAAGGTATGGGTTGATGGGTTGATAAAGATAAATAAACCGGATGAATGATAATTGTTGGAAGTGTGAAGAATTGTTATTGAGTGAGAGCCGCGTGACAAAAATGGTGAATGATAGTGATGTTTGCTCTGAGTTGTGGTGCCTCAGATACTCAGTGATAGACCTTGATCGGCAGACAGTCATAGGTTGCAATGGGCAATGAACATCTGGCTATCAATGCTCTCCGAGGTCTTTGAAATGAACCATATTGTCGGCGTTGCAGATAAACCCGCGTGGTCCTCTGGCATGGACTTCCGTCACCACTCACAAGCTGCAATGACCAATGAACAGGGAACTCCAGGGCTTATTGCATCAACCAAATCACCCACAGCGCAGTGCGCTACCCTTGGTTTTCTATCACAAACTTCGACCACCATTCAAGGGCCGCAGTGGCCAATGAACAAGGAGATCGAGGGCTTGTGCCATGTTCAATATCGTCGGCGTTGAGGCAGAACGCCTCAAGAGTCCTCCATCATGGATCTCTGTAATCATCTTCTGGGAGCATCCAGTCGAAAGGTCGCCATATATCAAGCCTCTCAAACTCGGCTGACCCCGAAACACACAGGATAGACACAACGCGCAAGCAGCAATCATCTCGCAAAGGGACAAAGGGTATGTGGGAATCAAAACTTCTCAAACAATGTGCAAATAAATCGCAAAGGTACCTACTATTTGGTTCAAATTCTGCTGTGACATAGCACCACTTGGTGGTGCACTGGGTCCTGGAGTTGGTGTAGAATGGACGGGGGTTCCAGGTAATGGTTGCTGGGAAGGCATCATCCCATTTCCGTTTACACCTGGTCCCATGCTGCCGCTGCGCGGTCCAGGGCTTGGTGCCCCACCTGGTGCCGACATAATCGACGACTATCGATGACAACTTCGAGACAGATCCTCAAATTGCGACGAAGGACGGCAACGGAGCAGAGTTGCAGCGTACAATGCGTATAATCGCCGGCGTATTATATGGTAGACTTGGACGATCAGCTATTAGTGTTTCGTCTAATGTATATAATGCCCAAAGGTATATGGGACTTCAACCGCTCAGCGATAGAATAATGGATTTGATATCTTGAATTTGATATCCCGACGAGCTGCGGGCCCGGGCTACCTCACCGCTTATTAAGATCCGTTCCTTACTTCCGGCACGTGATGTTAACCAGCAAGCTTCCCAATCTCCATTGCGATCTACATCTCTTGTTCTTCACTAAAAATTCAAGTGAAATTAATTCTCACAGACACAGCTATCTCGCTTCTTTATACAGCTTTGAACCAGTCAACATGGGTGAAAATGTGCCCCCGCAAGAGCTACCTATCTTTACATCTGCCGATCGTATTCGACAGCTAAATGACATGGACAAGGTACTACGCTGAATTCAATCTACGCAGGCAATATTTGCTAATTGCTCTCCATCAGGATGTTACCAAACTTCTTCATTCTGCAGGTCTCGCGATCCAAGCCTTGACCAACGCCAAACCGGACTCCTCTTCCGTTGCACCAGATGGATCACTCGATTCACACAAAACGCGGTTCAAAGAAGCGAGCGCGAAATACTTCGCGCTTCTATCCTCGGCCGATGTTACTCTCCGCCGCCAGATCTACTCGCTAGAGGAATCATCTCTCGTTGGACCCGAGAAAGGCTCGCGCGCAGGGGACACAAAAGCTGGAGCCAGGAACGAAGGAGTCGCAGGAGCTAAATCGCGAGCTCCAAACTCACTGGATATCAGTCGGCTCAATACCCGGAAGGATACTGTTGGGAAAGATAAGGAGGCTGAGTTATGGGCGGCTGCTCGGAAATTCGTCGAGCAGACGCAGAAGCCTTCCGAGAAAAGCAAGAATTTCAGGATAGCGAATGAACCGGAGGACATGCAGGTGGATTGAACGATAAGTTATCAGTTCATCCGACGAGAGCGGTTGAGTTTGCTTCATGCGTTTATGATACCCCGGGCTATCTGCTGCCATTGATTGAAATTACGAATGTAATGAGCCCCATTGGAAGATGATACATATATACACATACCTACAAATACCAGACGCAAAATGTGTATGGACCAGTCTTCAAGCATGTTCACAGAACTAGCTATACAAAACGAAAACGCAACGACAGGTATAGTTCATCGGCCTAGCCGAGCAGGATATTTGTCGGAACTGTAAATGACTACTTCTGCATGGACATGATCATTTCCCGCTGGGTTTCCCGGTCTCTGTTCGCATCAGACAATGGGCCCAAGCCTAGGTTCATATTAGCATATTGCAGCGGCATGGAAATCATGTGAATCTACTTACTTCGGAGCTCGCCGACGACATCCTTCGCCTTGCCGAAGTAAACCTCCTCTGTATATGAAAGTCCAGGTCAGCATAAAATCCTCAGACCGTTAAATGGCGACGAGAGATAGGAACATACGCAAGAGATTTCGCATCTTCAACTCCATATCCTCCACCAGCCTGCCTACATTGGCGACATGGCTAGCATCCGACTCCACAGGCATATCGACCTCCACCTGGCGAGTCATGTTCCCGCTGAGGTCCATATCACCAAGAGCCTCAGTTTTGTTGGCTAGGTGGAGGATAACGGTACTAGTGAGTTTGTAGTGGGACATGCGAGCGCGGTCGGTGGCCTCGAAAACGTGGATGCTGTCCCATTCGCCGGAGCTCTGAGAACCCGGGGTGACACCTAATCAAAAGAAACAGTTAGTCGCAATCTAACCCATAAAAAGTAATCCGCAGCCGGTCCATAACGCACCCTTCTTCAGTAGAATCACGCCGGCAAATCCATCATCCAAATCCCAGAAATACACACTCCCCACGCCTCCCTCATAGTACAGCTCGCGGTAAACATCGAATGACTCGTTGGCGGCAACCTCGAGCTTGCGCACTCGCTCACTGGGCACGGTACCATCCTCAAGCGGAGGATCAAACTCATTGCTCCATGGTGACCGGTAGCTATCGCCGTCGCGGTTGTAGTCACAGAGCAGATAGTCGCGGTTGGTCTGCGGGCAGCGGCGAATCTCCAGGGGCTGGTCAACGGAGGAGAGGAGGTCTTCGGTGAGTTCGGGGACAATTGTAGTGATGGCTTGCAAGTTGGTCTTGGTGTCCCGGGGGTTCAGGCGCCGAAGCAGGTCGCTGTAGATGGGGTGGTCAGCTCGCTTGTCTCCGAGTGCATGACGCGGGGTTGCGTCGGGGTCTGGGATTGTTATGGCGGTTATCATGGTTGGGGGGCAAATGGGTCTGTAGTGTCATATGGGTTTGAGACAGGATACTCACAGCGCGCTGTCAAATTGTGCATCAGCCATGGTTGCGAAGGTTGGTTGTATATCTGTTGCTGAACGAATGGCGGTGTTGATCTTGGGCGGATGAGGTGCGTGCATATTTGGGACTGCTTGCGTGGCAGTACATGATATCTATATCAAACGCGATATGTCAACTTCGATAGCATCCATAAGAAGAAATATATAGTTTCAGACATTTGTATCCGAACTTTGTTTCTTTCATGATCTTGGATTCTTAATTTAGCGTATATAATATGCCCGCTATTTGCAATATTTGACAAGAGTGTTCAGCATGCACATGCCAAAGCCGTCTCTGGCAGTGTAAAAAGAAATCAATATAGAGTTGACGCTGTGCATGAAAGCCTCTCTTAATTAGAACCAGAAACGAGGCTCATCTCCTCCTCCCACCACCCCGCAAAGACATTCAACCTCTCCGTCCGTACCCTAGCCATCTCCCTCCCTGTAGCCGTCTTCATCATACCCTCCAGCCTAACCAACTTGTCCCCAAAATGCTCAATGGAATTATCCATTTCCCATTTCCCATCAACGCAATACTTCTTCCCTACAGCTCCAAGGAAGGTGAAACATCTGCCAATTCCAATAGCCCCGATAGCATCAAGTCGATCGGCGTCCTGGACAATCCCAAGCTCGACAAACCCATCCTCATCGACCATCCTCCGAATCAACGCCGGATCCTTGCATTCAGTCGTATAAGAAACATGTGACACGATCGTCTGCACTCGGGATGCGAGCTCTGGCGTCGCACCCCGCGCAAGGAGTGCATGCTGCACCATCGTCGTTGGGTCGAGTTCTTCGCCTGAATCCATCTTGGATAGGTACTTTCTGTCACCGATGTCATGCAACAGCGCTGCGAGTTTGACAACAGCCCCGTTGTATTGAGTTGTCGGGTGCAGTGCCCGCTCTGCTTCCAGGATCTTGTTGGCGAGCGCTCCCACTCTGTGGACGTGTGCTGGGTTATGCGATGGGTCGTGTCCTGACATGCAGTCTGTCACGAAATCAGACATCTCGCTGAAGAGCGCTTGAAATTCTTGGCTGGTATCATCCATTGTGGGTCGTCTGGTCCGGTTGATGGTGGATTGTTTTTTTTTTGTTGATTCGACGGTACAGACTAAACGGCAGCCAAGACCTATGCTAATAGTGCAAGTTGGATTTTTATACTGTGTTTTTGTGGTTTTTGTGTCCTTGGTGATCAGCAGTATGTATATTTTGAAGAAAACGCCGGATTTTCCCCCGCAGTTAACAAGATTTGGCGGTGAATAGCACTCGACTCATTTTCTAGCGTCAACTTAAAGCCATCGAGATAGCCCGGGGTGCATATTGCAATTTTACGTTGTATGAACCTGCGTTTCGGTGGAATTGTGGAAACCGCCTCATCTTTACTGAAGCCATAGACATGCCCCTATATTGTACATACGGGGTGCCAACTCTGCGGGACTGATCTGCAACGAAATAATTGTGGCTAGGGCCAATATATGGTTGTTAGCACTATACAAGATCTTGATTGGATATGAAAGAAAAAAACAAAGGCTTCAAATTGATATCCAATACACTATGACACAGAACAAAGCAAAATTATGTTACAAGGCTAACAGGGCTACCCCATAGATCCAGATCTGGGACAGTCCATACGACCATGTCAAATTACACGGAAGTAGACCGAAGACCGAATCAAATCTTCTCACAGAGCAAAGGCAGCAACAATCAGGCCGAAGAGACCAGCAGCGGAGGCACCGAGCTTAACATTGGGAGCGGCGTTAGTGGTCTGCTGCGAGAAGCCCGAGGTGCTGGTAGCAGTGCCGGAGGAGGAAGTGCCATCGTTGCTGCTGTTGTTGTTGTCATTGTTGCCGGAAGCTGAAGGCAGATGTTAGCAAAGTTCTGTATCGGAAACAAAAAAAGCATGCGGACATACACTTGGAATCAGTGCTCGACGAGTCGGAGCTGGTCTGTGTGGCAGTGCTGTCGGTACCAGTGGAAGTGCCGGATGAGTGGGTTGCAGTTGCACCGCTGCCATTGCCACCCCAGAAGTGCGAGCTGTAGCAGGACTGCTCACAGTCGGCGTACTTCTGGGTGTCGGCCGGGGAGCCAGTGCCCTGAGGGCAGGAAGAGACACAGTCATTGGTGTCATTTGCCTGGTTATCGCTGGGGCAGGGGACCTTGTAGCACTTTGCGGTACAGCAGATATCCGTGGCTTCGCCTAGAGTTGAAGTTGCATTAGTATCAAGCTAAGGACGAGAGATCGTGATAATGGGTATCTTACAGCTCTTGGCGCACTCAGCCTCGGGAGTAGTGGTAATGGTTGAAGGGTTCGCGGTGGTGGTGTCTGCGGCAGCGGCGAAAGCCAACAAGGTCGAGAGAGCAAGGATGCTGAACTTCATGTTGATAAAAAAGGTATCACAGAATGATCAAATCAATGAAGGGAAAGGGCTCTTGTAAGTAGCGACAGTGTATTGTAGTAAAGAGTGACAGATTTAGAGAAGGAGAAGAGCAGACAGCGAAGTATTAAATATGATTGATAAAAAGCCCACAAAGCAAACGGACGTGCTTGGCCCTGGAAGTTTGCCTCAACCCAAATCCTAGGGACAAAAACAGGCACAATGCAGATCCCCATTCGTGGTCTCAAATTTAATGGTCATTGAAGCGGTTTAGTTCCACGGACCAAGTCCATCTAGATGATACACGGCGATCACCCTACTTCCCCGGACAAGCATATTGTGCAGGGCAATCTCCCCCTTAGAAAGGGGGTTTCTGCCTTGTCGCACATTGAGACCATCGGGGTTAGTAGACCTGTCAAATTGTATAATATTGATTGACTCCGGGCATTAGCGTGTGAGTAAGGGACCAATCTATTTTTTTTGCAGGAGTATGTTGCCATTTCTATTGGCCCTCGGAGCTCGGCAGGGCCTTGAAAGTCACAAAAGACAACCTTCAGGCTGTAGTACGGAGTACATTGGACGCCATCATGGGGCTACTGTTTGTCAGGTGCAATATCAAAATAGAATCGAGGTTTTATAAGGGGCGACGGGACTAGACACATGTTCAATGTGATAGAGAAGTATACAATTTGAATTCTTCAAGCACCTCTGTACGGAGTAGGTGCTTCGTAATTCGTCTAGGCTTGGCCATTTGAGAGATGAAGTACATTCAAAGATTCGGTGGTAGATAAAGCTCTAGTGCAAACTATACAAACACAACCCCATCACCTGACTACGTGACGCGACGCGATACGATTGTACATACAATGGCAATGCCTCTCAACTATCCGCGCGATGTCAACAGATTCCGAGTCGGATTACTTCGATGATGACGACTTCGTAGTCCCTGGGACCCCGGATGGGCCCTCACATCCCGCAAAACGTCGCCGCGTTCGAAATCGTGGGAAAGAGCGCGAAGGTCAGGATGACGGTTCTTCGATCGACTCGTTCTCTGATATGGAGGACGACGAGTTACCCTCCCGGCGCCGAGAATCATCTATTGGCTTTGAACAATACCACGACCGCCCCAAAACTAAGAGCTGTGTCCTGAAGCAAGCCAGTGTCCAAAATGACATGTTCGTCACACAACTCACACAACCCTCCTCAAGTCCAGAACGAATACGCGGTCCTCGATGGCAGAAGCCTGTTGCAAAACCCCTCCGCCAAAATTCGAAACTAGAGAACAAGAGGGTGGTTGTGGACAGGAGAATAATAATTCCCATGATACCGATGAGGAGTTTATGGCCGCTATCGCAGCTTCATTGGATTCATTTGAGGAGGAGAAAACAACCAGAGCGGTAATTCAACCGCTGAGTTTATCAAACAATACTGCTCCGGGGAAGCTTGCCCCGCCGGCGAAGACAAACACGCATGTTTTAGCGGATGTCCCGTTTGAGCTGGAGGACATACCTGAAGGTGCATTTGATTCTTCGCCATCATTATCACCAGTAGGGCGACCAGTCCAGCCTGCAGCTTCGCAATTTAGTCAAACCCGAGGCCCAATTCGACAACCAAATCTCAGACAGAGCACATTATTCGGCATGGTTGCTCCAAACCCTGAGGCCTTGATACAGCGCCAACAAGATCGGGGCCCGTCAGAGAAAACTGAACCACCGACCCAACACAAACTTGTCAAAGATACTTTGGATACGTGGGTATACCCCACAAATTTGGGCAAAACCAGAGATTACCAGTTCAACATCACTCAGGCAGGCCTGTTTCATAATCTACTCGTGGCCTTGCCAACGGGTCTGGGAAAGACATTCATAGCGGCCACAATTATGCTCAACTGGTTTCGCTGGACGAAAGATTCGCAAATCATTTTTGTAGCACCAACGAAACCCTTGGTTTCGCAACAGGTATCGGCATGTTTGGATATTGCCGGAATCCCACGCTCGGAGTCGACCATGCTCACTGGTGGAGCATCACCGGGTATTCGCGCCGAAGAGTGGAAATCAAAGCGGGTGTTTTTCATGACACCCCAAACACTGATCAATGACCTGAAGACCGGAATTGCCGATCCTAAGCGAGTGGTGTTGTTGGTCGTCGATGAAGCTCATCGCGCAACGGGTGCGTATGCATATGTGGAGGTGGTCAAATTCCTTCGACGTTTCAACAACAGTTTCCGCGTTCTCGCACTCACAGCAACGCCGGGCTCAACAGTTGAATCAGTGCAGGCGGTTATTGATGGTCTGGACATAGCACGTGTCGAAATCCGTACGGAGAATTCGATCGACATTCGCGAGTATGTTCACGCTCGCAATATCGAAATTGAAACATTTGAGAATTCAGATGAAATGGTTTTCTGTATGGATCTCATGTCTGCGGCCTTGCAGCCCTTGCTTGACCAACTCCGTACCCTAAACGCCTACTGGGGACGTGACCCCATGGGGCTGACTGCATACGGTCTCACAGTGGCGAGGCAACAGTGGATGCAGTCCGACGCTGGCCGGAATGCCAATTTCGGCTTGAAAGGCAAAGTCAACTCCATTTTCACTGTTCTTGCTAGCTTGGCCCATGCTATTGATCTTCTTAAGTACCATGGCATCGTGCCATTCTATCGCCATGTCATCCATTTCAAATCAAGCTCCGAGGGACAGAAAGGTGGAGGTGGCAAATACCAAAAGCAAGTTGTGCAGGATGATAGTTTCAAGAAACTGCTTAACCATATTGAACCATGGAGTAAGAATCCAGAATTCATTGGCCATCCGAAATTGGAATATCTCAAGTCAGTGATTTTGAATCACTTTATGGACAGGGGTGAAGGGAAAGAGTTGCCTGATGGCACTAGTCAGCCTGCGACTCGTGTCATGATCTTTGTGCATTTCCGTGACAGTGCCGAAGAGGTCACGAGAGTGCTCAAGAGATACGAGCCCATGATTCGGCCTCATGTTTTTGTGGGTCAATCAAGCGCTAAAGGCTCTGAAGGCATGGACCAGAAAACACAGCTCAGAATCATTGAGGATTTCAAGAAAGGTACATACAACACGATCGTTGCTACCTCTATTGGCGAGGAAGGATTAGATATTGGAGAGGTCGATCTGATCGTGTGCTACGACTCGTCGGCTTCACCCATTCGCATGCTGCAGCGCATGGGTCGAACTGGCCGTAAGCGGGCCGGTAACATCACCCTGCTATTGATGAAAGGCAAAGAAGAAGACTCCTACATCAAAGCCAAAGATAACTACGAAAAGATGCAGCAAATGATTGCTTGTGGCTCTCGATTCACGTTTCACGACGATCGTTCTGCACGCATTTTACCCGTGGGCGTCCGTCCAGTGCCTGATAAACGACAAATCGATATACCCCCGGAGAACTCGCAGCAAGGACTGCTTGAGCCAAAACGTAAAGGGCGAGCACCGAAGCGACCTGCCAAGGTCTTCCACATGCCCGATGATGTGGAGACAGGCTTTACTCGAGCCTCGACTTTGGCTGGCGACAAACCACAGAAGAAGAAAGCCACTGCGCCCAAAAAGGCAGCAACTCCCAAAAAGAGACCCCGGTCCCCCACACCCGAGCCCGTGGATGTTCCATCGATCGAGGACGTTGTTCTTAGCACAAGTGAGCAAAACGATCTTGAAAATCATTATCAGAACATCGGTGCCACTTCCCCGCAATTCATCCGGTTCCCTCGCAACGACGCCTTTCCACGCTTGCAGCTTATTGAAAGACCCACGAAGAACGTCAAACATGGGTCTCTCACGCAACGTATGGTAAAAGCCTTGCAGAAGATGCATGAGGCCGGTCCTGACTGTGATAATCGATTCAAACGGATTCTGGCCCGTGAGCCCCTTTCGTCAGACGAGTCCAGTCAACCGTCCCGGGGAGATTCAACTAAGAAACCTCGACGGAGCCAAAAGCCCTTGAAAACACCGTCTAAGAAGACTACTCGACGAGCTTCTACCAAGGCCACTGCAATCCCCGCTGGCGGGGAGGTTGTTTCTTTGTTGTCCCCAGAGCGTGAACCCAAGCAGAAGACCGATCCCTTTGCCTTTATGGATGATGACTTCGGTGATGATGGCTCGGATTTTGAACTGATGGATGCTAGCCTTTTGTTTAGTAGTGGATCTAAACCTAAGGGTCGAAAACCCAACAGACCGATTATTGAAGATAGAGATGAATGATGTAATAGAGACAGGCGTTGGATGCTATTTGGATATGGTTCTTGTCACATTCGAACGTATGAATGCCATTGGATTACAATTGAATCGAATTCTAATTGGAATATTAAAAAACTCCCTTCATGTGCACTGCCTGGTACGTACTGTAGACATCAACGCCTCACCTCTTTCTCGTTAGCTGCGCCCCAATGAGGCGCTTAGTCGGGGGCTTATGCAGCATATGAGATTTGATTTGTGACTGAATTTCACAGCCACAGCATTAACCGCATTCGCGTTAGCAATGATAATTGATCCCCCCCTCCAGGTGTCCGGGGTTTCAGTTCGCACCGTACTCGGCCCAAAACACGACCCAATACCTACCTAGTAGGGCTGGTACGCAGCGCATTGGGCCGGGTAGCTCTTTTGACCGTATAATAATGAACCCTGGTTATTACTTTGAGGTCATTTTCGTCCTGCTTGTATTTTCCCATAGTAAAATTTGACCTACCTCAACGTCGGCTTTTTATTCTATATATAATTCAAGTATCATACGAATCGCCGGCCGCTTAAGTCTTATGTGGTCTTTTTAGATAGTCTTAGATATTACTTTTAGACGGCGTCTTCTAATATATTTTCTCCCCCGTTTTAGTTTTATAGGTAGGTAGAAAGCCGAAAAAGACGGGAAAAGAATATATAGATGACTTATTTAAGCGTAGAATCTAAGTGTGGGATTTAAAGTAAACAAAGTTAAGAAGTATCAAGAAATGAGGCATCGCTAATTAGAGGATAAAGAATTTAATCATC